CAGATGAAGTTGTCTCAACAGCAAACCAAGGCAGCTTCAGGCAACTGAATATTTTCCACTGAAGTCTGTCCGTTACCATTATTTGACTTATCAAAGCCTTTCAGCAATAACTTTTTCTGCACTGTCACCATCATTTTTCTCCTTATTTTGAACCTCCGTAGTGTCACCTTCTGCCGCTGCAGCAACTAGATTACTTTCATCACCCCTAGGAGGTGAAGCAACAGGGGTCCCAACGGGCTCAGACTGACCTTCCCCAGTTGCTGGACTCCCAGTTGTGTTAGACGGTATACCAACTTCAAGATCTGCTTCTACATCTGGGACCAGCTCTCCTTCTTCCCTGTCACACTCCACCTCCTGTTCTTTTGACCCTTCATCAAACAACACCTCTATTTCAGTTGGCTTATCTAAACCTTCCTCCAATATATCATTCTTATTTTCCTGCAAGTCCACTTCATTCATTCCATCCACATCCTGAGATTCCTTTGGTTCTTCAAACTCCTCCTTCTCAGCATCAACTGCATCATCATTGGAACCTTGAGATAGATCACCAGTAGCATCTAAAGTTTCATCTACTGCAGGTTGAGTTACCATGCTTTCCCCTAGAACAGCAGATGGTCCTTCAGCAACCCCTGGTTGGAAATCTGAGCCCTTGGACTTCTTTAGTACAGGTGGAGCAACTTCAGAAGCAATCTCCCCTTGAATCAATGATTCCTGGCTCAACTCAGAGCCCTTGGACTTCTTCAGTACAGGTGGAGCAACTTCAGAAGCAATCTCCCCTAGATTCAATGATTCCTGGCTCAACTCAGAAGCAGGTGGAGCCAGACGTTTGCGAAGGGGTGACTTTCCTGGTAAGACAGCATTTCCCTGACTTTCAAAATCATGTGATATAGCATGCTTTCCTTCATTGTTAGTTCCATCCGCCTCTGACATTTCTACATCAAGCTGCGGTTCTTCATGTTGGACAAGACGGGGACGCACCAACTTTCTCCCCGTTCTGCGAGTTTCAGCATTTGTTTTGGCCAAAATTAATCTTCTTTCTTTCTCTTCTGCCACTTTAGTTGGCTGACTACCAATCGGAGCTGTTAAAGAGGTTACGAGAGGAGCCTGAGCAGGAATTTCTGTAAGTATAAAATGAAAAGATAGACTGTTGAGACTTGATAAAACAGAACCAGCCAATTGTACTGTGGCAACAAGTGGAAAAGAGAAGATAGAACCAAGTAACCTCTGATCGTAGATACAGAAGTGTCTGCAACAGAAACACAGTCAGAAGGATGAGAACCACTCCCAAGATCAGTGTGAATGGATTGGGCTACTCTCTCGAAAGTTTCAACAGCTGACATGTAGGCAGCAGCACGATCATCCAGAATGGTCCCAGCAAGGATCTGGACAGCTAGAGTACCCTAAAACGATGGTGACTGTGAGAAAACTGACAACTAATACTTTGGTGATAGAAGGTGTCAACTTAATGAGATGAATGAGTTTTTTTTTTTAAAAAAATTATATAATATTTGCATCTAGAAAAAAAAATTCGTATATAAGCATTTGTAGTTCAGGAAACTGAAAACAAAATTTAAAAAATGCAGTAAAGAGATCGAATGAGTTTGAAAAGATTAAAATGTTGTTCTCAGTGCTATATTTACTACTCATTTTGTATGCATAAGCATAAAATATAAAAAATAAAACCAAATACAGCTTTCTACAACTTGACATGTTAAACCTTTACCTGAGGGTTTGGAGGACATAATACGAGCAGGAAAGAGTATACAAAAGTAAGAATCGAATTAACCAAGAGTGATGTTGTACAAAAACTTACATAAACATAGTCCTCCAAAACAGTATACAAACAGGAAGGGAAGTATATGAAAGTAATAACAAAGAAAGAATCATATCTTAAGTCTTTCCAAATACAGAAAAGTTGTTACTAAAAATGTCTAACAAACTACTCCACTTTTGAGAGAATTTCCCGGGAGAAATCAACAAACTGAAGGTGCATAATCTCTGTGAACAATTACAGAAGATACTGAGATGAAAAAAAGGTCTTTTCTGTAGGAAAAAAGAAAGCACACAATTGAAAGTGCATACTTTTCCAAGAATAATAACAGAAGATAATGAGAGAGAGAGAGAGAGAACAACGTCAAAGGAGAAACGGATAAGAAAGATAATTCAGTGAAGCAAAAAGAAAGAAAAAAAGGCTAAGATGTATTGCTAGGAAAGAAGGGGAGTACACGAAAGTAACAATAAAGAATGAACCACATGTGAAGTTCTCCAAATACAGAATGTGTTACTAAAAGTATACAGGAACTAGTATCCACCTTTCAAGGTGT